ATGGGCAGCGCATAGCCAAGAAGAAGACTCATGTCAAGAAGCGCACGCTGAGTCCTGTCTTCAATGAGAGCTTTGCTTTTGATATACCCGCTGCAGAGGTGAGTTGAACTAAAAGACTTTTATGCGTCTCTTCATTTTACTATTTGTGCATACTTTTTAGGGCACTGGCGCCACCTTGGAAGGTGTCTCATTGGAGCTAATGCTACTCGACTGGGATCGCGTGACTAAGAATGAGGTAAGAGCCCATATTATACTTTAAATAGGCAAACAAGCAAAGCTCTCACCCTCTTATGTGCACCTAGGTTATTGGACGCTTAGAGCTGGGTGGACCCAATTCAAGTAGTACCGCTTTGAACCATTGGAACGAGGTTTGCAATTCGCCACGTCGCCAAATTGCCGAATGGCACAAGCTAAATGAGTAAAACTCTTCAATTTTATCAAATTTTGGGGCAGCGACCCGGCGCTGGCGCCGCCTATTCAACCACAAAAACAACAACAACAACATCGGGCAAACCAAGTTAAATATATTCTAATTTTTATTTTCATTTTTATACTGCGTGCATAACCAATATTTATTTTGAACTAATTAAAATGAATTAAAGATTTTTAAATATTTATTTTGATTATGCTCAATATATTTCTTTTGTGGCATAAGAAAACACAACATTTGGAAATAACAAAAGATGAAGTAAAAGTAAATTACAAAAAGAAACAAGAAAACTTAAGTAAATTAAATGTATTAGAAAATGTTTAGTATGTAACAACGCGGGTAAATGTAAGATAATTAATTTAAAAAACATGATACACATATACTTATAATGAAAATTAAAACAGGTACACATACGTATAAAAACTTCAATTTGTTGCTGTATAAAAATCTTTACTTAAATGTTGGGCTAAATTTTTTAATTATATACTAAAATAATTTCTTATTGAGCTTGAATTTTTATTTAGCACTGTAAAATTATATATTACCTGAAGAAAATTGTTTATTATGACTCTGCCCACCATGAATACATTTGGTATTTGTTTAATATGTATTTATATTGTAGCTTACATTTTAAGCATATGTTTATTTAATATTTACCACAAACTGAGTTCTGAATACCGAACACATTTAGGAAACCCCCAAGAAACTACTTGAACAGTGCTTTACATAACAAATTTTCCAAATGTGTCCGCAGTGAGGCAAACGCTTACCGCTTATATCTTTATATACATATAAACAAACTTTAAAAACAAGAGAAATATAACAAAAAAACACTAATCAAAATAAATCGAAAAGATAACGAAACTTGAGAGAACACGCAGTAATTTGCTTAGGCACCAAAAAGCTACAAAATCACACACAAAAAAGAACGAAACAAGTCAAAACCCAAAAACTAAACAACACAATAGAATAGTACGTATAAGATGTCAAATCATATTGTATGTAGAAACCACAAAAGTAATTATATTATGTAGAGTTACGAGATACATAGATGGCAAAGCTCAAACGAAACCAAAAGGCATTATACAAATCTTACGGCACTTACCCAAACGTACATCTATAATATTTCTAAGCCCAACTAAGCAAAGCTTACTACGCAAACCCCGCAACAATTGAACCGTTTAATTGGATGCTATGAGAGACATTTATAACATCAATTTTATAAGACGTGCAAAAAAATAAAAACAGAAAAATAAAAGGAAACATATACGAGCACAAAATGCATTCTATAATATAATCATAGCCCCCAAAAAAGAAAACAAAAATTCAATTTGTGTCCACAATCAAACTTCAATTCGTCTAAAGTGCATACAATAATTTAAAAAAAACACGATTTTCATATACATAGAAACATATATACATATATCAAAATATAGTATATACATACTTCATGCAAATGAATATATATATACTTACTGACATATATACTAACTACATACATGCACACATATAAAGTGAAATGTATAATTCTACATATACATATGTAATAGGAATGATAAGAGACATTGAATGGTTAATTTCAGTAATAAAAACATATATAAAATATAAAAATTATAAATTATTTTAATTTTGAATTTATCAGAGTTTCGAATATATTTAGTACTATTTAATGTGGATAATTCGAAAATGTAGTTGAGTTTTTTATTCGGGCAACGAATGTTACATGCATCTCAACTCGAACTCTTGGTTTATATATGGATGGCAGCCAGCAGTGGGATGCGATGTGAGTGTTTCGAAAGATGTTGGAAAACAATTGTAAAAATCTTTTTTTGTTAACCTGCATGGAAGGCCGAATAAAATAAATGACCTTTTTATTTTAAAATATTTAATTAGCGGGCTCGATTTTTTGTTTGAATTTAAATTTTAATATCAACACACTATGCAATTCTATTAAATTAAATTAAGCTTTACATTTTTTTAAGTTGTGACTATACATTTTAGCTAGGTTTATCTTTTTGTTAGTAGAAATTATAAGTTAAGCTTAGACTCATAACTTACTTCAGATATGCATACATTTTGGCTACTCTGAAGTTTTAATACCCTGAATTAAGTGTTTGTATCTTTTTTTCAAAATTTGCTTAACTCTTTTAAAAATATTGAAGTTTGTTGGCAAAAATATCTAACAAATACTTAATTTATACAAATTATAACAATTCGTGAATCATCGAAAGGTTCGGAAAAGTAAAAGTAAACTTTTTCAATGCTGGGTGATTTTGAAGTTCCGAAATTATATATAAAAAGTGCTTGCAAAATATCTGACTAATCGTTACTTTTGTTTCTAATGGATTATAGCAACAAGGCTCAACAACAACCTTTCCTTACCTTTAGATTTGGTCCCCAGTCTGACCCATGGGATTGGTTGCCAATCAAGCTGTAGCCCAAGATTAGCCAGAGCAGACCGTATGCTTTGAAGTCTTCCATAAACAACTGTTGGCTGTGAGACACGCAATGTGAGAACTATAACGCACATTGGACAGCGATTTGGGCATATATACTATATAAAAGCGGTTATCAAAAATGATAATCCAAGAGCGATCTAAATCCTTGAACATTGAATTCACTTTATTATGGTTTAATTTAAGAGCTAGAAATAAATGTCAATTTACATTAACTAAAACACACACACACATCTACTACTTGGCAATTACACAAGTATATTTATATATATGTAATTAGTTTTATTTACTTATAGTTTGTAGAGTACTAAATTTTTTCTTTCGCATAAACCTTTGACGCATCTTTCTTTGTGGCCTGCTTCCATTTGCTATGCTTAGGTTTAGAATTTAATATTTTTGCCTTTTCCTGTTATTAATTATTATTATTTCGCGTTTAGCTTTTATACATTGAGATTTGCGGGATTATATTCTATTTATTTAAATTATTTTTTTTTTATCTGTCTTTTTGTTGAATTTTCGTCAAGTAATGCATATTTGATAATTCATTAATTACTGACATTTAGTATGAATTTTAGGACACATTTAGTTAAGTTCACTTAGCTAATCATTTAAATTTTCATAAAAACTTTATATTTAGATTTGTATTCAAATTTTTGCTCTTGATTTTTCAATTTTGATCACTTCAGTCTTACCAAAAATATTTATTTCAACAGTATTGTTTTTCTCGCGGTTTTGAACATTCGAAATTTAGTATTATTTAGTATTAACTCTTAGGCTTAATTCAAAATAGTTTGTTTTTACTTCTTTAAGCTATCGCATAGTTTCTTTAATAGGTTGTAAACACATCAATATTCTAATGCTCAACTGTGTTTTTCTGTTTTTATTTGCAAATTTGAAAATTTCTTTAAGAAATTTTTGTATTCAATACGATACACGTAGATACATAATGGATTACTTATCTTTCGCCAGTACTAATCGTAGTAGTTGTATATGTACATAACTTTTATAGTTTATAGTTTACATTAGCTTTGATTTCAATGCTGCCATTTGATTTAAGATATTACTGCGAGATCTGTTTTGCGCATGAAATAAAACTACATCTTAATAATATGTCGGTTAAAAATATGTACATATGCACTTCAAGAGCTCTGAGAACTGAAATATGTGTAAATTTAAGTTCACAAGGATTCTGGAAAGGGTATTGAAATGATAAAGCTACCCTTGAGGCTTATAGGCTAGTTAAATTTCCAAGGGGCCAAGGTTGAATTTGACGTGAAGTTGATCAGGCGGTTCATAATATTGAGCTGTTAATCCTTATGTGTTTCTTGCTTAAAAAGCTTTTTTGGTGCTGTCACAATAAATGCTGCACAGTACATTTTTTGTTTACCACGTAACACTGCAAGTCCTCATGTCAAATATTATCCAGGTAAATAAACCAACTTGTAAGCTTAATATGAATATGAAAAGCATTAATCGAACTTGCTTGCAGTATGCAAATCCTTATGTCAATAATTTACTAGGTAACTTAACCACCTTGTAAGCTTAAGCTCAACATGAACACCAGGAAGAGAGATCGACATTAACAACATGTTAAACTACATGTTATGAGTTTTTGACGCTCTCCAGGGAACTAAACAAATCGGACAGATATAAATATGTAAGCAAGTTCTAAAATAGCTTCAACCAGCATTCCTATTTATACAAAGCCAGCAAATGCACACAAAGTATAGTTCCTTCGTTCCCTTAGGAACTTCAATCAGTAATTGAGTTCTAAAATTAATTTGGACGGTGTAGCTAAATTAGAATAATACGTATAATTGGCAATTTACAGATTTGTTTATCGTCATATAACTTAAAAGAACTGTGTATATATATATATATGTAACCTAGGTCATAGTACGCACTAAGAGTTACTAACTACAAATTAATACTGTACAGGATACGCGACACTCCTAATAGAAACTAATTAAACGGGCCTCAGCTCGTATTGCATACAAATCGGCGGTTAACGAAATATCTGATAATTGTATACATATATATACTATATCAAATATGTAGCTAAGTACAATAACTTAAGAAGATGGGGCGTGGCCAACTTAAAAATACGACGTTAGCTATCCTTTATCCTTGCCAGGCCCGACGCTTACGCCGAGCAGGTGCTCCCCGGCCATCAGGCCCGCCGGCTGATGCGCATAGTTGCGTATCTGATGCAGCGAGATCAGCTGATTGGGAAAGGCATTGGCATTATTCTGGTTCACATTCTTATTGGGAAAACTGATGGCATCATAGAGATAGGGACGCTGCGCCATCGGATGGTGGCTCAGTGAGTTCAGGTGCGGCGGCATCGAGTTGATCGGCGTAAAGGCCGAATTGCTGGTGGTTTTCGTTATGGATGCCGCATCATACGGCCCCACAGTGCTGGGAGTGGTTACTGCAGATGGACAATATTGCCTAAGTTGTTCCTAATTTGAAAGTTGCGAACTTGAAACTTACCAATATCCTCGCGCACAGGGTCGGGCATGATGCGATGATGCGGCTGCAGCTGCTCCGGCGGATGACCATTGCTCTGGTTGCTGTTGGGCGCTGTCGGTTGGGCATAGTGCGCCTCCATGCTGTGCTGGGGCGGTGGTTGTTGTTGCTGCTGCTGTGGGTGATGGTGCTGCGGCTGTTGCTGCTGCTGGGGCGGGCCATGCTGCTGCGGTGGCACGCCCAGTTGCGTGTGGTGGTGATGCGGCTGCTGTTGTTGTTGCTGCTGCTGTTGTTGCTGTTGTTGTTGTTGCTGCTGCTGTTGCTGCTGCTGCTGTTGCTGCTGATGCATAACCTCCATGGCATTGGCTGCAGCTGCAGAGTCCGGACTTACCTTTGGCCAGTAGCTGTTGTCGCTAGGCGCTATTGAAACGGGTGGCAACACCAGATTGTTGCGTTGATGCTGCGTGTTGCTGGCCGCCGCTGTTGATGCATTGCTCTGCTGCCCGCCGGCAGCAGCGGCAGCAGCAGCGGCAACAGCTGCTGCGCTGCCCGGCGCAATGGGCGGCCGTTTGTCCGTGCGCTCCGCATGCTTCTGCATGTGCTTGGTCAAGTAGGTCTCCTGGGTATACGACTTGCCACAGTATTGACAGATGTGCGTCTTCAGATGCTTCGATTCTTTGTGCTTGGGTATGTGCTCCAGCAGCGAGGGCTCATCTGAGAAGCACTTGTAGCAGGAGTTGCACTTGAACGGCTTGTCCGTTTGATGACAGCGCGAATGCGACTGCAGATTGGACAGCTGCGAGAAGGCCTTCTGGCAGCCAGGATGCCGGCACTTGTACGGCTTATCGCCCGTATGCGTGCGTATGTGCTGCTGCAGGTGCGATAGCTGCGTAAACTTGCGCTGGCAAATCTCGCAGCGATACGGCTTAATCCCCAAATGGATGCGCGTGTGCTGTGACAGATACGAAGAGTTGGCAAACGCCTTAGAGCATTGCGTGCACTTGTACGGTTTCGCCTCACGCATATGGATCTGCGTGTGCAGCTGCAAGTCCGCTTTTGAGCTAAAGATCTGCAATTGAGAGATTTTGAAAATTGTAAGAGTCGGACATGGCTGTGGCTTGACTGGTTGGGATATATGTTTTTATATTTTGTTTAACTTGCATTGCACTCGGCTGAAGCTATCAATTGTTTATTTTTCGTTGAAATCAAAGTTGATTTAAAAAAATGACATATTTAATATTCAACATTATTTTATACTAAATAATGCACCACAATTATTGCAAATCTATTAAACGATTCTTATTTTAGGTATGAAATCATGATCCATGTAAACCATGTTATTCCCCATTCGAACCGAAACAGTTTCGACTGAGCTAGTTTAGGAAAGGCATTTACTTATAATAAGAGCTAGAGCCACCAAACATGATATGTTGCTTCTAGAATATTATAGATATTTCAAGTATCTTTCATTTCATACCTATCGCCACCTCCCCGCTACCACCCCAGAGCTATACATCAATTTAATAACCCAACTTTTATTGCCAACCAATTTAAACCACAATTTAAATGCAATTGACTTTTTCAGAATACACAAATATTCTATGGAACAATAAGATATACTGTAGAAAATTTCATAAAGATCGGTTAAGAAAATAACAAAGTTATATGCAACTGCGCAATTGGATGGGGCAGCAGCTTTAAGAATTTCTGTATATATGTACACACACACATTCATGCGCGTTTACTTCGCATTCTAAGTGCGACTTTTTTCTTTAATGCTATTTTAGTTCCTTTTTTTTACCAAAAGTACTTAATTTTTGGTGATGAGTAGAGGCATAGCAAGTGGTGCGGTCTGTCGCGAGTTCGAGCCCTACCGGGAAAAGTATTTTTTTTTTTGTTGCTGTTGTGGCTGTTGAGTAGAGTCGACAGCAAGTAATGCGATCAGTTGCGAGTTCGAACCCTGCCAAGGGAACTTTTTTTTTAATTTTTTTTTGCTGTTGGAATAAGAGGGTTCAGGGTATTCCGTAGTCGGGAGCTCCCGACTAGACCCTCTTACTTGTTTAGTTTTACTATACTCCTCATATATATGCAAAATCCTAAGCCGAAGATAGCCCTTCTTTCTGGTTATTTACTTGGGTTCGTTAGAAGTAAAAAATTTTTTACTTTTATCTTGATTGGAATTCCCAAGAAACTGTTTAAAAATGCCTTTAGGATTCTCAATTATTAAAAATAATTTTTCCAAAAATAGAGATATATACAATACCTTAAAAAAATCAAAAAATTCTCAAAACATACAACTTTTTGCATACTCGATTTAAAGGCCAATTTCGAGATTCTAAATTTTGAAAAAAAAAATAATATCCTCAAGAAAAAGTACATTTTACTTTTATTTTCATCAATAATGAAGGTAAACCTTCTCCAGAATAGCATCGTGCATAGAAATCGATTAAGTTTAAGGCCACTAAAAGCATTGGGAACTCCACAAGTCACAATTTTTTGTCAAAATTAACTAGAGTTTGGCCCAGATGAATTTCTTTGTATTGCGGGTACCCTGAAGCCTTCACCTTGGTATCCTTCACATCATGCGGCATGTGATGCGGCGAACTGGTAGATGATGAGATGCCACTGGCATTGGCAACGTTTCCACTGACTGCAGTCGGAACTGGATTGGAATTCGTATTGGGATTAGAATTCGGATTACGTTCATTGATCGTTGCGTTTTGCATGCGTATGCCGCCGTTGTCCACGCTGTTGCTGGTGACCACAATGTGCTGGTTGGGATTCGGATAAATGCGAGACTTGCGACCACGTGTCGATCCCGTGGGTGCTGTTGTGCCGGCGCCAGCAGAGCTACTGCTGCTGCTTACGACGGAATCGTTGACCAGCTTGGAGCTGCTGCTGCTGCCGTCGGCAATAGCTAGAGTGGAGCTGCTTTCCAGAGTTGGCTTGGGCTGATGCAGCGGCTCCCCGCCACCACTCAGGTGATATTGATGCTGCTGCTGTTGTTGTTGTTGCTGCTGCTGTTGTGGCTGCTGTGGCACCTGTGGTTGCTGCTGCTGTGGCTGCGGATGTTGGCTATAGCTTAGCACCGAGCCGCGCAGATCAGGTGTGTTTGAGAAGACGCTAAGGGGTCCCAGGGCCACGCGCTCGTTCAAACTGTTGCGCAGATGATCTATGGAGCGATGTACTGCGTGGGAGTAGTCGCCGCCAGAGGGTGGAATCTCGCCAATTAGCGGGGAATTGTGATGGTAGTCGAGGCCACCGCCAATTGGACGATACTCAATCAAACGGCCCTCCATTTTCGTGTTAATATTCTTATTTAAGCTCGTTTATTTCAACCGTTTTAGTATTATTGTATGAATATATTTTTTACAAGTCTTTAAAATGAGTTTTAAGCACAATTTTTATATCTGTGAAGAAAATGTTCCGTGGGCAATTTTTATAATTATTAATTTTATTTCGTTGTTTATTTCTTTGTATTGTATTTACAAATTATATTTTTATTCATTTCTATAGGTTTTTAAGCCGTGGACTTTCAATTGATTTTTATTTTGTGGCTAAGAAATGTATATGCAAGTTATATTTTACCTGCACATAGTAAATAAGTGATGTAATAACCGCAAGGCACACAAGTATTTTTTTTTTTTTAAATTATAGAAAAAATTTCATATATAAAACAAATAAAATTTCTAATGTACATTAATTAACTGAAAAGAAATCTATTCAGAAGACATAACGTAGAACCCAGAAAAAAAAACCAGAAAGTATTTTATACTGAAGATAATGTGAACTGTCTGATCTATCAGCAGAGGTTTTACCATTTTTGTTTTTATCAAGCATATCCTTACTTTAGGTTAAGGTATTCTGCCTGTTGCACAGCTTTTTTTATCGGTTTTTTTGTGTCCAATTTTGTAGGTGACGGTTTTTTAAATTTAAAAATCTGCTAGACGCGACCGCAAAAACGCTTAGGCCTCGGCTCTCTGCACCAATCACAGCAATTTTGGGTAGAATTTATTTCCCTTTTTGGTCATTTTTAATTTTTTGTGCTTGTCAAAATCTAACACCAATTTTTCTATGCTTTTTATTTTATTTTTGTTATTTTGCATTTTCAATCGCTTCGTTTGCGCTGCACGTCGGAATTTTTTTAAATTTTTTTCTACGCGGAAATATTTTTTCGCCACGCATTTGACTTTTCAGATTTTATGCGACCAGCGCCCCCCCTTCGCACTCTGTGGCCGGGAGCGTGTTTTTTTCAATTTGACCATTTTCTATTTTCCATGCGGCCTTTTCTCTGCTCGCTTTTGGAGCGCTTCGATTAGAATTTTTTCCCCACATAAAAATCCGCTATGTGCTTCCCTCTGCTGTTGACTGTTGAATATTTTTTTCTATTTCTTCTTTTTTATTTTTTGCTATTTGTTGTGGGACAAGTCATTGAAGCGCAGACAAGCAGCAGACAATCTGCGTATATATCAGGTGAAAGTCCTCGTTGTTTTTATTTGTATTGTTCCATATTTTCTGTTTTTGTGGGGTTTTTCTATTTCTAAGCGCAGCGAATAATTCATTTATTTGTTGCATATTTCAACTATTTTTGTGAACTCTGTGAATGTTGAGTTTTGATATGATTGAAACGGTCTGTGAGTACTCGTGGCTGTATTTTGTTTATTTTGCGTATAGATGGAATTGCAAGTTCGTTAGTCATTCACGACATTGACCTTGAATGACATTTTTATAGGTTAACATTTCAATAAAGCCACAAATTGATTTATTTTTTATTTGCCAAATTGTGTTTTATTTTGGTGAAGTATATTGGCAAAATATTTAAGACTATGGATATGTAAAAGATCTGCAGATTCATTATTTATTTATGAACTAATATAAATTAGTTAAAAATGGCAAAGCTTACCAGATACTCAACATTTACAGCTAAACGTTAATCTGATAAATGATAAATTGTAAGGAATTTTTTGAAAATTTGTTGAAAATTTCGGGTATACTACTACATACATGTATACCTAGCTGCTCAGCATTTTTTACATATGTAGGGGGAATGTGGATGACAGATAACTAAAAGTAAAGTGCTTTCTTAAGTTCTAAAAATAATATTATAGCAAATAGAAATTTTCAAAAATATTTCAGCCTTGCTGTACTTTTATATTTCTAACAAATGGAGCATGTATGTATGTATGTATGCAAGGTATATGCAAAGAAGAGTGCGATTTTATGCGATATATATATATATATATACATACTTAATATAGGGGCAGAGGTTATATACATACACATGTAGATTATACACACTGATGCATTATTATTTTTTTCCTTTCAATTTTTATTTGTTAGCTAAATAATTATTTGTGTACAAATTACGACATTTCAAATGGGCTCTTCCTTCTTTTTAATGGCTTTCAGAGTGTTATATAAAACAGTATATAAATTCGAGTGAGTGTTACATATGTATGCGCTTTAATACAGACTTATCTGCATATACGCTGCACATAATGTAGGCCCCGTCCTAAAACCGAATTAACAATAATAAAAAAAAAAACAAATAAAAATACAAAAAAACAGCAAAAACTGGGGAATGTTCTTATGTACTTATGTGCATGTGTGTGTTTGTTTGTTTGTGGGTTTGTGGGCTGAAGTTCGGGTTAATGCATAGTTCGGGCTTTTAACTAATTAACATTTAGCGGTTTGGCCTGCCCTCGTGACTCAGACTCTAGATTTATTTTTAATGTTAATTGAAAATTGTTGAAAAATTTGAAAAAAGGAAAGAATTCGCCCGCTCTTTTATTATTCATAACTTTTTGCTATTGTTGTTGCCTGATTAATGCATTTTTCACACTACTTTTTAGCTTGTTTTTATTAAATTGTACATCACAAAAATGTTTCCGTTTCGTTTTTTTTTTTTTTTTTTGGTTTTTTATTTAGCTTATGTTTATTTTTTTTAGCTTATTGTAAGTTAATGAAAAATGCATTGCGGGGTGCCATTTGATCCGTGCAAATATTTTTTTCAATACATTTAATTATTATTTTTATTCATTTTAATGATATTTAATTTCACATTTATCG